TACAAATCAAAACCACACCGAGATACCATTTCACACCATTTAGAATGGTGATCATTAAAAAATCCGGAGATAACAGATGCTGGAGAGGATGTGGAGACATAGGAATGCTTTTACACTGTTGGTGGGAGTATAAATTAGTTCAATGATTGTGGAAGACAGTGTGGCAATTCCTCAAAGATCTAGAACCAGAAATACCAGCAATCCCATTAATGGGCATATACCAAAAGGATTATATATCATCCTATTATAAAGACACATGCACATGCATATTTATTGTGGCACTGTTCACAATAACAAAGACTTGGAACCAACCCAAAAGCCCGTCAATGATAGATTGGATAAAGAAAATGTGGCACATATGTATCATGGAATACTATGTAGCCATAAAAAAGGATGAATTTATGTCCTTTGCAGGGACATGGATAAAGCTGGAAACCATCATTCTCAGCAAACTGACGGAAGAATAGAAAAGCAAACACCACATGTTCTCACTCATAAGTGGGAGTTGAACAATAGGAACACATGGATACAGGGAGGGGAACATCACACACCTGTCGGGGGGTAGGAGCCTAGGGGAGGGATAGCAGGGGATAGGCTCTAGGGGAGGAATAGCATTAGGAGAAATACCTAATGTAGATGATTGGTTGATGGATGCAGCAAACCACAGTGGTACATGTATACCAATGTAACAAACCTGCACGCTCTGCACATGTACCTAAGAACTTAAAGTATAATAATAATAAAAAAGACATTGGTGTTAAGGAAAATAATATAAAATGAAATCTCCCCTATTAAATTTAGATCCAAGAATATATAAAACAATAGAAACTTATCCACCAGAATGTAGCTCCTTAAAGGTCTTCCTTTCAGACACTGAATCACCTAGAATATTATCAAAGCAGCTGTGCTGGCTACTTCCATTAGGGCAATGGAATATAAATTCAATCTGTATTAACCTGTACCTTGGTACGTAGAAGATAGATCTTTACATTCTTCCTCAATAGTAAAGAGGAGAGATTTGCTGTCTTTTGGGGAATTGGTAGGTCCATATCTTGAGGCAAGGAACTCTGAAAGTGCCTATTACTTTTAGAAGTTTGAAGTTTTCAAATGTGTGTGTGTGTTTGTGTTTGTATG